GCGAAACTTCGTCAAAATAAACCCTCTCATCCCAACCTGCCACATCATCCAATGTACGTCCCCTCCGTTGAGTCATATTTATGCGCAGTTGATGCAGATCTCTTCAAATACACTTTCATGCAAGTCTTGAAGCTATTTAATGCGTGACAGAAAGTCTTACCATAGAACGGTGTTCCGACATTGCTGCAGACTTGAAAATGGCATGACGGAAATGACCTACTGAGTTTTTATCATTCAAACCCGCTAATTAACGTAAACACAACAGATCACTCGTACATTCCCTCATTCTAGGACCAGTTTTGCCTCGCCCGCTAACGCGTGCATCGCGCGGCAGGCTTTACTGGAGGACCCATGGAATAGCAGCATGAGATACTCCATTAAAGGACGAATTCGCAGGAAAGGCAACCCATTTCAAATTAACTAGGGATGGTGAGTGGTACACGAAAGAAGGAAAAACCATGAGAAACGGCCCAGAACCCGAGAAATGGGACCCCTTCCTTGCCCGTTGATTTGAGCATTGATGCGACTCTCATCGCTGTGCCCTCTTCAACACTACGCTCTCTCACCTATCTAATCACTCGCCACGTATAGACCTGCGGCGAGTGATCAGATGGTCGGTGGGCGTACAGTGGCCCACCGCGCCAAGATTGAGACCGACGTCACACTTGGCGACGGACAACGGCGCTCTCGGCCGAGCGATTGGCAAGCGACGGACAACGATGAAACGATCGCGATCGCTCCATCGCTTGTCCATCGCCGTGACGTCGGTCTGAGCCTGAATAGTTCGCCGAGATCAACTCCTTCGGTGCCAATTGCGCTTCAGTCGCACCCTTAGGAGGTCCGCGGGTCCCTCAACTAGGTGAATTACTCCTTCTTCGACCTTCATTATAACGTGAATTCGTCCTTCAAGCATCTCACTGAATGTGTTAGACCTTCCACAGTTTCACTGAAGTTCATCGAGAATACGCGTGATAACGTCTGGAGCTGAACTGGTATATTGATCACAACTCTGTAAACATCCAGCATTTTTCTTGAATTAAGATAATTTAGCGGTGAATAGGATTTTCTTGTCGTGAGTCTCGAAATAAAAATGAAATGTATCTACACCAGTTTAGCTGCGCACGCATTCGCGTGCATCACACGGGACTGCATTGGTTTGCAACAGGGCCATTGATATTTTTATAGCCCACCGTGGGAAACTCCGCAAATCCTCGGTGGCGCCCACCAATAGCATTTGGCCCCATTCCTTCGCCAACCTTTATCCACTTTTCCCAGCCTCTGGGCTCTCTTTGAACCCACCTGTAATATCACGTGACAAACTCCGCCTACTTCAACGCATGCTCCACCCTCTAGTAGTTGATCTGCCTTCCGTTGACGGAACTCAATCCACTATTTTCTCGGTCCTCAAGACTTCTTGGAGCCGAGTTAGAAAGTCTCAAGGATAACTCCGCCCCCTCTGGACCTGCCCCGCCCACCAATGGCAGTTGGGCTCCACTCCTGCACCCACCTCTATCCACTTTTTCCCGGTCTCCAGGACTTCTTGGAGCTGAGTTACAAAATTTTGGGCAAACTCCGCTCCCTTTAATGCACACTCCTCCCACCAAAGGGCGGAAGTGGTGTAGTGCAAGTGGCACGCTTACCACGCGAGCGGTCCGGGGATCAAATCCTGGGTCGTGAGTCGCCCGGGCCAACCAAGCCTTCCATCCCTCCGGGGTCGGTTAATTGGTACCAGACTTGTCTGGGAGGATAAAAACACTGACTTGTACATCGGCTGGCCCCCGCAAGTCATTGTATAGGCCACATCGCATTCAAAACGCCACTACGAATGTACAAATGGAAGTAGAATGCGTGCCGCATCCCAAAAAGGGATTGATCAACGGCAAATGCTTTATCCTTTATCCTTATTATCCTTCCACCAATAGCAGTTAACCTCCATTCCGTTGACAAACGCAATCAACATTTTTCCCGGTCTCTGGGACTTCTTGGAATTTAGTTATGAATTTTCGTCGCCAGCTCCGCCCACTTTGGACCCCGCCCCGACGACAGTTGACCTCCACTCCTCCACCCACCTCTATCCACCTTTTTCCGGCTCCCTAAGACTTCTCCGACCCGAATTATGAGGGCTTGTAGAAAACGCTGTACACTTCAGAGCGCGCTCCGCCCATGTGGGCGGGCCTCCGCCAACGTCAGGCATACTGGGAACACCATTGCTCCCCTACACTGACTTTCTCTTTGAACTATAGACTCACTCCAAACCAAGTTATGAATTTTTTCATAAAGCACTGCTTGTTTGGAGAACGCCCCGCCACCTGTGGGGTGGCTACCAATTCGGTGTAACTTACCAATGCACACCTTTACCCACTTCTGACCTAGTTTCTGGGCCGTTTTATCACTGAAATTCAAATCTTGGTCGTCAGTACAGTTCATTTCGCACGCCCGCCCACTGTGGGCGGGGCTCCGCTTAGCTGATGTGTGTTTTGTACTTCGTGAGACCTGGCCCACCCATCCCACACTTGACCCGGTCCTCCAGGCGGATCCCGAGGAGCTAGGGAATTTTCGTGACACACACACACACACACACACACACACACACACACACACACACACACACACACACACACACACACACACACACACACACACACACACACACACACACACACACACACACAATACACACACAGCACACATAGCGAATTATATATATAGGATACTTTACATAATAAGAAGCTAATGCTTATCATTTATTTACATTCGCCATTCTCAGTACCAGGGTGAAAATCGTGTCGAGGAAATAACCGCCTCTTTACGACCCCCCTCCAAAACATGGACTCTGATACGACCCCTTTTTGTCCTCTGCACATCCGGTTTCATATCAAAAAATGCTAGTTTCAGATGTGCGAGAGGGACGCAGCGCCGCTGCCACGCAAATGCGGCTTGATCCAAATGCTAGATTCAATTCTGCTCAGATTAGGTTCTCCTTCTTTCCTTTAAAGACATTTAACCTTTGCCACATTGGCCGGAAAGTAGAACATTGAAGGAGGTACTGCCCCTACACAGTTGAACAGTCTCGCGCTCCAGTATAGCGGCGCTAACTACCCGCGATCGCGTCGCGCGCTGTGCCTAGAGCGCGCTAGTTGGAAAAATCGTCAAATGTACCCCCTATTTAAAGGACTATAACTTTCTTCATTGATAACCATTTCAGAAAGTGAAGGCAGCTTTTGAATGCACAAGACTTCTAGTTTCTAAATTGTGCTGAGCGTTTTTCTAAGCACGCCTATTCTCGAGAGTGGGAGACGTCGAGGAATTGTCGAGGAAATTGAAATTTACATGCGAGTTCCCACTCTTTGGAAGACAGTAGCTGTCTTCATTGGCAATGCTTTGAAAATCGGAGGAAAGCGTTGTAAAGTAGAAGATTTACGCTTTCTGATAGGTGCTCCAGTTGTTTCGAACGCTTTCTAGTTCGCGAGAAATCTGCGTCGAGGAAATGTCAAGGAAATTTTCGAAGCCACTCGAAAACTCTATTACTCCCTCGCCGTAGTAGGGAACTTCTTTGAACACCTTCAAAATACTTCTGTACACGTCAGTTCGATGGAGTAAATTGAAAATGATGCACTTGGCGCGGATCCATTCCGTTCTTGTATGCGCCATGCAGTGACCCCACTCGGAGTCATTGGGAAGGTGTTTTGTCCTAGTGACGACTTGCTTAAGCACACCAAAAGATATTTCCAGTATTAACTAATTAGGATAACTCTTGTGGTCATAGTGATGTCTGATCATTCCTTTATTCAAATCGCTTCCTTTCCAACCCGTTCTGATGAATGACAGCTTGCGGTTGCAGGATCTGATGATGCCAAGAAGGCTGCGAATCTGCCTGTTTTGAACTTTCTACCAAGATGCTGTTCCTCCACTAAGTTCTCGAAGCATGTGCATCATTCTAGAGTAGATACTCGCTGCCCTTTCCCTACGATTCTTTTGCAGGACGCGTTGCCTTCCTATGCCATACTGATCACTACGAACCAAACCAACAACCACTTGTAAGATGTTATTTGCATTAGGCTAAGTACAACACTTGTGAAACTAATGATGACAGCAAATAAGTGGCAGCAGCACCGTTGTGTCCGTTGATGAACCTTTTGATTACGACCCCCTCCCAACTCTCATCGGAGCAAATACGACCCCCTGTCGAGGATTTCCTCGACCGTTATTCACCCTGCTCAGTACTCCTAAAGGATCAGCGGTTTAATGAGTTTGGGCTTTTCTGGTAGTGCATCAGAAATGAAACTTATCAGTTGCTGAAGACTTGAGTGCTACAAATTTCCGGTCAAACACACACACACTTAGCCGATTATATATACTAGGATTCCCACAAATTCTCTACTATCGATGGAGTTCCGAGCTTCGGAGGTTTATAAGAAGCTGAATCCTCTTTAGTATTTCAGGATTCAGTCGGGGAGATGAGAGTGAGAGGGGACCACGAGTTTCTGATGGCGCGACTTGGTGAGAGCGGCGTCGCTGTAGTCACAGGGATCGCATTTGCGCAGGGATAGCAAGTCATAGCACCCTCACCAAGAATTGACGCGAAAAGCGTAAAAAAAAGAGATTGGAATCTCAAGGCTCATTGGTGTCCTGAACTGTCACAAGACTGATCATCCGAAGTGAACGTAATCGAAAAGAGCAAGCTGATGTTTACAAAATGCAAAAGAACTCCGCAGACATTCAGATTTTCTTGTTCAGTTATTCCCATGATAAACACGTAACGTCAATGAACAGCGCGGTTTCAATTATTTCATTGCTGAGATATTATTCGATGGAGACTAGATGACAGGATGTGAGATTCAAGAGGCTAAGCTAAATGAATATGATAAGAGCTTATTAACTTTATTTACATTTCATCGATGGCTATAGTAATTCGCGCAACGACATCATAACAAACTTTACACGTATAGGAAAGCGTTACCACAAAAAATATAACGCTCCTAGTTGCTGTACAGTAGCTTTTATTCTGAAGGAACATCCATCGCTTCTGCACCAGTATCATCCACTGGGGAATCAAACGAAAACAATCTCACACCACGTCCCTCAGAGTCACCAGCCACAGAGGTTGCCGCTGATCCAGGAGTCGCATGTCGATGTCTCCCGCGGATACGAGGGGCTCCAGGACACTCGGATGGGGCACAAGTAGGAGTAGTTGGCATGGGAGGGGTATGGAACGACAACGTCGGTTCCAAATGTGTCATCTGAAAAATGTTCTCTGGTTACTGAAGCTAAGTGAACTAGAAGTTGAAAATGTGGAATGCGCCGAAAATCGACCTCCACTCACGCCAGTAGTTGAATTGGAAAATATCTTTCAACTCAAGAATTGCGTATAACCTTGACACATTCACAATAGCCCGTTAAGCGGGCTCCTCGGCATCTTTTTTTGTTTTGGTATTTTTTTTCAAAAACAGTCGTACTCCTAAATACTTTCTTTTCTGATAAGAGGTATTGGTATTTTCCGGATCTGATGATTTAGACCGATAACTTTCTAACATAAGAAACACCTAGAAAAATGCCCATTCGCATAAAAACCTGCATATCCCCAAACATTCCTAGTTAATTTTGCAGTAAGAGTTATTTCTCAGTATGACGCATGTGTAGCACTCTTCAGAATGAACTAGTGGAAATACTTTCGCATAATGTTTGAGATCTGCAAATCGCCCTTTTCAAAAAATATACGTTCAAGGATGATTACACGATAAGAACGAAGGTCGAGGAAGGGGAACTTTACCTGTAGGAGATACAGGACCTACCTAAGGGTGCGGACCAACACGCAATTCGCATCGAAGGATATGCCCGGCGATCTAGCATGGCCTTCCCTTTGGCGCAGTTGGCCCGGAACGCCCACCGACTATCTAATCACTCGCCGCAGTCTCTATCGGCGAGTGATTAGATAGCAGAGAGAGCGTAGTGTTGAAGAGGGCAGCACGATGAGAGTCGCATCAATGCGCAAATCAACGGGCAAGGAAGGGGTCCCATTTCTCGGGTTCCGGGCCGTTTCTCATTTTTTCTTCATCCCTGTTCCACTGATCACCTATACCTTTATTTCCAATGAGCTGTCTTTTCATTGTAAAATCAGTGGGATTGTGCCTGGCAACCGTCGTTACTGAAAGGATACGGGGAGGGGTTGTATTTGAAAATTTCTCATCGTCTCGTTTGACCCCGTCGAAGTTGTCTATTACTGCATACCCAAATGGTTGTAGGGAAGATGGAACTTGCAGCTCACCAAAATGACTCGTTAATTTCGCTGTCCTCGCCGTACCTACCTGTCTCTAACCAATATGAAGACTCCGTACTAGCCCGTTCAAAATTTCCATGCAAATTTGGATTGATCGAAACGCTCAATTGATCTTTGTAAGTCTCCGATATCCGTCCATCGCCCCAATCTTGTTCGAAGCTTCCATCATCACGAGAAAGGCTTTAATCACGACAGAACAGCGCATTTTTTTTCGGGGATTGGAGGGCAAACGCTAGCTGATATCACGACTTGTTTTCCCAATTTTTCGTCCAAAGTTGAAGTGAAGCGGGAAACTCATGCAGCTTATTGAGTACGATGCAAAGGAGTTTCAGAATTACTAACGGAATACTTAGACAGAGCGAGAAACGCGTTTTCTTCTGGCATATTAAGCGGTAGCAGTTTCTTGGGAGTAATTCAGGAATAAAGTATCCAAAAGATAGCTACTAAAAACGGCAGAACCTTTCCGAACAACCCAATATAACAGCACAGAACAAATGCTCCAAAAACAGCAAATGTAACCACCTAGAACGGCATATGTCAATCATTTCAAATTATCAAAATTCAAACTAAACAAGAATTTACGGTGAGAAATGTACCTGGACTGCAGCCTCTTCGCACTGTTTCGTGAGCGCGAGATTGGTATGATGATATGCTGCCGCTGGCATCCCCGTTTTTGACAAAAATTCTCCAAGTTGATGGTGCAACCGACCCATTGAATGAAAAGGAACCATAGAATTCTGAAAGTGATGGTTAGTAAATGGAAAGCAGAAGTGAAGCTTGGAATGAAGGTACCTCAGTTAATTTTTTCAACACTTCTGTGCCTTTTTGATAATTGTGGGTACTGTCATACTGACTTATGAGTAACCACACTGCTTCGAGAAGATATGGGTGAGCGAACACCACCTCTTCTAAGATTGTTTGTGCTTCCTTGAAAAACGAGTAGAGGGTTAAAAAAGGATATCACTAAATAGTTTCAAAGCTACCTCCTTTCCACTTGGAGTGGCAAGTAACACTTGCGCCTTGAGAACTCGTGCTCGAGGTGAATTTGGAAGATTCTGCATACAAATGGCCACCGCTGCGCGAGCTTCGCGGATTCTAAAATGATTGCAATGCAAGATATAAACATCAGCTCGCAAAGAAGCTGGTGCTGAATGAACATCTGCAAATCAGTGATATATCAATAAAGCAAAATCCCCACTTTTCTCGCTGTAGGTAAGTGACTATCTGCAATTCGTACAGATCAATGTTTTTGAGGTCCCGTTTGATGGCTGCACTCAAATGACGCATTGCGTCATCAAACTTCTCTGAAACACTTTGATTGAGTCCCTGCAATTTGAGCGGCAATGGGATGTAAAGTTGCATGGCGCACAAGGTGGCGGAGCCGGTCTCTGGGATAATTAACACTCGTCATCCGAAGCAGCGGTTGAGGCTGGTATCAGAGTCCACGATTACACACACGTGGGATCACAGAAAATGAGAGTGCACCGATCAATACTGCGAGGTGCTCTCCAATCCCGCCGCCATTTCTGCTTGATGGTGATGGTTGAATGACGACTGTTCATGATTCCACTTGTTTCATATTCAGTGTTTCAAATGTTCAAATGGGGCAATTTTTGCCATTAGCGCGAATCGCGCGACGGATCGCGAACTATGACACCAGTCTAACTAAACCAAGTTTTGCCAGAACGGAACACTTTCAACACTCGAAAGCTGTGCACTACAACTACGCAACCGCCAAAGCACAACTTTCATCTCACAACAGCACTAGGATATGGACGAAACTTTCGCCCCAGACAAGACTCGAATCCACACTACTCGTAAGTGCGCTAGAAACAACAAATATTAGCAAGCAATGCAAACTGAGCGAAAGCGTTAAAAGAGCAATTAACAAACAATACAAGTTAAAAATAAATGTCAAGTAGAGCTCTCAACATTGCCATTCCCCACATTGGCTAACCGGCTCGTCACTTTAGGCGGGAAAGTGGACGCGCATAGTTGGTCGTGCGACAGTGACGGTCTCACAGCGTTAGATACGTATCGATCGTCGAATACTCAGGCAAGTCTGACGATCGATACGCATCCAATGCTGTGCGACCGTTACGATCGTTACTATCAGACGACCGACCATGCATGCGCCCTGAGTGCTGATAAGCTACCGTAAATAGACTATGAGAAGCTGAGTTGGATGAAATGGTGCCCCGGTAGCGTAACTGGTAGCGCACTTGCCCGGAAAGCGAGAGGTGCGGGTTCTAGTCCCGCCTGGGGCGAAAGTTTTGTTCACAACCCAGCATTCTTGTGAAACATTCGCAACGCGAACTGCGGCGTTAAAACAGCAGTCAACAGACAAGTTGAAAAGAGGGGATATAAGGGAAAAACGGGCGAAGTACAGTTATACAAAGAGATCATATTCTAGCGGTAGGTTCAATATCAATTTCCAAAAGTACGCAAAGGTGCAATGTCATGGACTATCACCATTAGATCTAAAACTTGTGCGAATTAAAGATGCTAATCTTAATTTATCGAAATCAGCGGTCACTTACCAAGATCAAGGAGCACAAGTGCTTTCAACATCATGGCTTCAGATTTTGGTTTATCACCTAGCGTAGTCTTGTTACATGCTTTATGAGCGAAATACAATGCCGTTTTGAGCTTCCCTGAAAATATTATAATCTTGGGAGTTGAAGATACAAGAAATGATCCACATGAAGCGAACCTTGGCATCGTGCACAATGTCCGAAAGCAATCCATGCTTCCACAGTGTTCTCATCTGAGTTCATCAACTGAGTAGCCAATGATTCTAGCTCCTTAGCCATGGGAGGTGTATTCTAGGATATCTGGGATCACAAAGAAATTAATGAATAGACACGCACCCTTTTAAAATAGGGAAGTATACCTGTGCAAACAACAGAGCTAACGTATCCATGGCATAGTGCTGCTCGCTGTCAAGCGAATGAGCTTTGGCCAGCTCGGAACGAGCTTCATGACGCATGCCCAAGCTATTGTACACTAAACCCATCTCGGTGAGGATTCTGAAAGTAGACTGTTAAAAAGGGCAAAATGAAGGCACAAAAGAAGAAAACAACAAATGAAAACCTTCAGAAGTTCACTTACTTCGGATTATTAGTTCCCAAGAGCGACATGACCTTAAGAGCCTGTTCAGTTTGCCCAGCACCAAGAAGTTTCTGCGCCTCAAGCCAAGTCGTTAGATTAGCAGCACCAGAACCTTCTAGCCCTTCCGAAATTGCATCGATATCCACGTTCGCTGCAATGGAAGCGCCACTCCTAAGAACAGCAGCCAGACAACCAAACGCGCTATTGCAGTTTGTGAAAACATCTCTGAAATCTCCTAAAGGTACTTTAGCAAACAATTCGAACTATGAGAAAACACAGACAATAGTATACAATAGGCGTGACAATATGACCCACTGAAGGTATAAAATTGACATGTTTACTCCCTTGTGATCTTTTCCAGCCAAAAGTTTTGCCATTGCATAGCGTACTTTAGGAATGTATTGATGACCAGGTATTTTCGCCAAAACAGCTGAAACATAATTACTGAGAATCTATTTCTGGGTGCATCATGGAACAAATTGACAGCGGTAACTCCGTATATGCAGTCATCGTTACCGAGCGTCACAATGAAATGTAGCCGTATGCACAGTGTGCACTGGCCATGTGGATCATTGTATCTACTTTAGTGTTTAGTCTTTCTTTGCTCCAGTTACCAAACACTGTATCGAGAAAAGCCAATGCTGCTTCATTAAGAAAACGAACGTATCAAAAGCTGAAGAGTATGACTTGTGTATATTAGTAACAACAGACTTCCTAATGCAGTTTTAGATGTGTTCACACTGCCACTTGAATGCGTGCGTTTTCGTTACGACTTTAAACAGACCGTACACAAATGCAAACGGTCTGTCGCGATTGGCCAAGAACGGTTACAGGAAGGCCAGTATCAAACTGCGAATCCAGCAAACCTCATGATACGAGGAATGCGAGTGCAGTTCCAGCGATGTGCTGCTAGTGGTTTGTACGGTGTATGTTACTGGTCATGAATGGACCTCAGGTCCCGCAGCGAGTAAGTTTCGCGCTGCGAAAAGCGAAGTCGCTTTCTGTCCTAGCAAACCAGACCCGTACTTCAAGCGGTGCAACAGTGATTGTGAGTGTACGTGAACTCTCGCGACTTCCCCAAGCTCACGAGGGCATGATAGCTTGGGAAAGTGGCACGAGCTAACATGCAAACGGTATGTACTCGCTCCTTTCCCAAACTCTCGAATCGCTGGTGCACTGCTCGAACCGCTGATGCAGGGCTCGAATCGCTAGCGCATGGCACCTGCCGGCATATTTCTCCTAAACGCGATTTAGTGGCAAGGTCTGATTAAACGCGATTTAGTGGCAAGGTCTGATACTGGCGGAAACCGAAAAGAATGTCAACTGTTACTGGTAAGTGGAACGTGCAATAAGGTAGGCGTAGCTTGCTACAAAACTTTATAATTTAGTCGAGAGAAGTCTGAAGGGGCAAGGAAGATTGACAGAGGTTGGCGTAGGGAGCTTATTTGCGATGGCGGAGAGCGCTTAACTGTGTTGGCGGGTGGGGCGGGGTCTTCTACGAAGCTTCAGGATTCATTTCCTGAAGGTCCAAAGGGAGGAAAAAAATGAATGTTGAAGAAAAAAATGAATGAAAAAAATGGGATGTTGGCGAGGAAGGAAAAGACAGACAGTATTCGCTGAACGTAAACAGAGGTGAGCGAACTTTGCCAAGGAAAAGAAGGACGGAGGGGTGGGGTGAGGATGAGCCACTAATCCTTTTAGTTCAGTATGAGATCGCCAAGCAACGAGAAAAAAGTATAAAAGGCTGACGAGGAAGAAAGGTCAAATGCTAGTGGTGGCTGAGACTTGCTTGCTGCTGCCAAACTCGGTGCAGAGTTTGCTATAAACTTCACGTTCTCGAAGCGGAGTAGGGAAAGATTAGTAGCTTCTTTCACAATGCGCTAGAAGAAGAAGAAGAAAGAGGAAGTGCGTTTTAAGAGGTGCGTGTCAGCGTAGCATTTTGGTTCAAAAGTGTGAAGTCACGGTTCTTACCAGTTTGCATCATATACACTCACTAACCCAGTGCTTCTTCGTACTTCTTTTCTTTCACCAAACACTTGTGATATCGAAATCTAACTTCAGTATCAGAGAAGTGCTGAAATGTACAATATACTCTTGGTGTCACAACAACAGGGAAAATGCAAACGTTCCATAGGGATATTCACCTTGTTATGAATAGAGCGTGATACTTCAGGGTACAGTTGCAGGGCTCGAAAATAGCTCTGAAAACTGACAATTACAAAACAAAAAATTAGAAAACCTATGATCTATGCAAGGATGATAAAACTGTCACATTTTCGCGATGCTTCATTCACTTTTCGGAAATTTTTATAAGGTTATGGCAATCGTATCAGGTACACCAGTCTTATAACTTACTTGCTCTGATTGTTAACTACTGCTTTTGGCAACTAGGACCAAACTTTCGCCTTAACCCTTAGACTACGACTTTTTTAAAAACAAGTTATTGATGTGTTTTATGTAGTAACAGTCGCTCCTAGCAACAACTAATCATCTGTAGAAATTTGGCTGACGCGCGCTGGGTTTGAGCTGGGATTCGATCCAGAGACCATATGCGCGGCAGTGGCCCCTCCTGTCACCACACCATCTCCGCTCGAATGAGCATTTTGAACAGTTCAAATACCATTCAACAAATACACATTTATCACATCTCATTCGTGGAACAAGGCAATGTCCGGTTGGGAACGCACTTGAAAAGAATTGCAAGCCGCACTTTGTAGAAGTGCTGCTCCCCTGCCTACAGGCTGCGCCCACCGGCTGCTTCTCCTCTAACGAATTTTCGCTGGTTTTTATGCTCGAAAGCTGCGTCATCATAGGAGTGTTCTACTACCACTTCCGCATCAAACGAACTGACAAAACTCCGGAGGTTGGAATTTCCAACGCAGTCGTAAAACGCTGTCGTCCTCTAACTGGCTTGCGGCCGATAAAAACCTCCATCCGTCATCGGTTTGCTTATGTTTCACCTGTTTCACAATAATTGAGGGAAATATTAGAACCATTAACACAATACAAAGAGTGTGAGACTCGAAAACTACCTTTTCGGGAGCTGTGCACACTGCCCAGTGACCTGTGGAACGACTTGCTTATCAACTTATCCAGCGTAACTCGCTTAGACTTCTGATACTTCGCTGACAGAGTAAGAATTACCAAGTTTCTAGTTGTGCACAATTCCGCCATAAAGCGGGCCCTCCGATCTCAATAAGTGCCAAAACTGTGGTAGTGACTTTGACTACCAAGTGGGACACATGTGTACCACCAGTAGTCAAAGATTAACTTACGCAGGATGACTCGCTTTAGCTTCTGACGATTAACTGTCATAGTAAGAATTAGAAAGCTTCTATATGTGCACAATTCAGCCATCAAATGAGCGCTCCTGCCTCAATATTCCCTGAACTGTGGTAGTGTCTTTGACTACGAAGTGGGACACATGTGTCCCACCAGTAGTCAAAGGTTAAGCGAGACGGGTGAGTTCACTAGGACAGAAAGCGAATTTTCCGCTTTTCGCACGCGAAACTTTTTTCGCTGCAGGAACCCCAGGTCCACCCATGATCAGCGGTGGACCTGAGGTTCCTGCAGCAAAAATGTTTCGCGTGCGAAAAGCGGAAAATTCGTTTTCTGTCCTAGTCAACTACACTCAGGCGAAACTCGAACCCGCACCTCTCGCTCGCCGGCAAGTGCGCTACAAGTTGCAAGTTTTCCAATTATTGAACCACTCCACAACCAGTGGATGTCACTCATCAAAATTAGGTTTACCTCCGAACACATGGCAGTATGGTGATAAAAAAAAACTAACCAGCAGACTTAAAGAGTACTTCTCTAGTTCAAAATAGGCATCCGCCACATAAACTGCCATTAAAGCCTCATTCTTCGCACTCAAGCTGAAATTTCAGCTTTTCAGGACGACTTCTATTTTCGGCACTACTCCCTATTACTGTCCAAAAATTTCAAAATTATATTTGTTACCGAAACTTTGCCTTTAGAAATTTTCGATGCACTAATTACAAATATAACATTCGTTTTTGTAAATAACGCTGTTTAACGCATATGTATTTTCTGCTCTCCTGAGCTCTCACTTACTTGTTAGGCACAGTGCTTGAGGGTAAGCTCGTTGGGAAGGGGGACACCGCATTGGGTGAATGGCGCACCGCTTGGCAATAGATGAGTGTTTGAGATCACAGGGTGAGTGGCGCGCACCTCTGAGCATCCTCTCCCCGAAGGCTTAGTCCTGAGGCCGGGTGCAGCAAGCCCCAGCTAGGGGATGGGGACCCATCCCCTCACCCAACTAGGGGATACATCTCCAAGGTTGGGGATATGTGGAGAAAATAGGTGCCAAATGGCGCCAACGCCAAAAAATGAATGTCATATTCGTAATCAGGACACCAAATAACCCTATATACAAGTTTACACCGAATTTGGTGAAAACAGCCGTCGTGACAAGGTGGCGCCAACTGGCGCCAAATGGCGCCAGCGTCAAAAATGAATGTCATATTCGTAATCAGGGCACCGAATTTCCTATATAGGCAGTTTATAGGCAGTTCAGTTTCAGTTTCAAAATAAAATTTTGAGATTTTGGGGCAGTAATGGTGGAACAGCACCCTATTTTCTTGTAATTTCTGACACTAAGGTTGAGGTGCTAACTTAGTTGGGGGGGGTCCGCGCCAGCGCTTGGCATGTTCGCGCCCTCTTAGGCCGATGTCATAGTTTGCGAATCGAGCGATTCGCTAGCGAATCGCTGGATCCGAGCGTTGCGCCAGCGAATCGAACGTTGCACCAGCGAATCGAACTTTGCACCAGCGAGTCGAACTATGTACCAGCGACTCAATAGTGGCGGGACCCAACGTTTAAAGGAAGCCCGCCACTTTCAAACAGTGTCCACTGTCAAGTCCCGCCACTTTCAAAAAGGGTCCACTGTCACGTGACACTGTTTGAAAGTGGCGGGCTTCCTTTGAACGTTGGGTCCCGCCACTATTGAGTCGCTGGTACATCGTTCGACTCGCTGGTACATCGTTCGATTCGCTGGTGCAACGTTCGATTCGCTGGCGCAACGCTCGGATCCAGCGATTCGCTAGCGAATCGCTCGATTCGCAAACTATGACATCGGCCTTAGCGAGATAGCGCAAACTCGCACATTCCAACTTTTCAGGCATGCCAAGTGACTCCCCCATGTCCGCCCCACCTCTAAACTGCCTACACTCTTCCCTCGCCCAGACTCTTCGCCTCACAGTGAAGAACGCGAACATATAGCACGTCGCGGCGGCGATTGACCTCTCACCGGGTGCGGTTCACTAAGAATGAAAGCGACTTTTTCGCGTGTCGCGCGCGAAAAAGTCGCTTTTATTCTTAATGAACGTTTTTCGCTGTGAGGTCCTCAGGACCAACGCTGATCATGAGTGGACCTAATGGTCCCACAGGGAAAAATGTTTCGCGCTGTGAAA